CTGGCCACTAAAGCAGGCTGTTACTTCGCGCGCTGTACATAAGACCTTCTAGGGTCTACGGGAGCGACAGGGCTTAGGGCTGAGAGCTTAGGGGAAACCTTAAACCATACTTTACTCCGTTTCCGGGAACCAGACCCGGATTTCTGCGCTGATGCATCTCTAGGCATCCCTCAGGCGCTCAGGGGCTCTCCTGACAAGCATGAGCCCTTGTTTAGGGTTTAGGGCTTAGGATTTCGGGTCGGATGTAGTAAGCAGGTAAAGAGTTGCGATAGCTGGGGTTCTTATATGGCGTAAACGGAAAATAAATGTACAAACTAAGTCTCCCTTGCCCTCCAAGTGCGCCCCAAAATCAGAGGCCTCCCTCCTTGAAAGATTTGCAGTTCTCACGACCCAAAGCCGACCCTAGTTCTCAGGAGGACCCCATGAAAACGTGAGTGGAAGGCCTATGCACAAGCCCAAACCAGGCCAGTAGAAGTTCTCAATAAGGCAAGAATATGGAAAGGTCTTGCTCATTTGCATGGTTTCTCTAGTTAACCCTCTAGAAACCATGGGAGTTAGCTTGACATGGTAGTTGCTCAAAACACCAACCCCTAGACCGTAAAACCGAAATGGCCTCAAGGTAGGTCCCCTTTTTGGTTAGGATCTCCATTTAAGGAACTCTATTCCCAATGGTCCTAGACCCTCAACCCTATATAAACCAAACATATCCCTACATGACCCCTACAAACCTTCTAAAGGGACCTTTAGATAGACCCCGACATGCTATCTGGAAGTCCTGGCACTGGGGCAAAGCTTATATTCTCAGGATCCAGGTGGATTGGGTTTGGGGTTTACGGCTTTAGGGCTTTAGGGTTTCGGGTTTAGCCTGAGACTCCTGACCTTGAGGAGCTGAGAGGATGTATCAGGGGGAGGCCGTGACTGAATCGATAATACAGGGCTCAAAATGACGCAAATTACCTTTCTAGGAATCATCTAAATCCCTTTATTACCAAGCATCTACATGGTGACGGCAACCAGATCCAATGACCCTCTGACCTACTTCTCTGTCGACCCCACCCACAGACGCCAGTCCTTGAAACCCCACATCCGCCAAATTGTAACCTCCTCCTATACCTCAATGGAGTCCGGATGAGATTACTGTTACAGCCTCCAAAAACTTCATGGAGGTCAGTATTGTAGCCCAAAGTTTTTGTTCGCCCGAATGTGTCCCCTACATGACTAGAAGGCTTTATGTCCTCATGTCCCTTCATACACATGGCAGTTGATCAACAGAAAGCCCTGTTCTCCGAATTGGCCATAACGACAAAAATCCTCCACACTGTCCCTCCCATAAACCTACGGGCACCTTAAATGGTAGTTTCCCAAAATAGGGGGACCCCAATATAGACCCCCAAAATACTATAGTCCTTATTATTGGGACCCCCAAAAAGGCACCCCCAATTTTGGGAAACCCCCAAATCATGTCCCCAAAGGACCTCTAGATCAACGCGCACATGCTTATATCATCCCTGGAGCTCCTTTCAGGACCTCTTAGGGTGTAGTGTTTAGGGTTCAGGGTGTCGGGTTCAGGATTTCGGGTTCAGGGCTTCGGGTCCAGGATTTCGGGTTTAGGGTTTAGGGTTTCGGGGTTAGGGGTTTAGGGTTTAGGGTTTAGGGTTTCGGATTTAGGGGTTAGGGTTTAGGGTTTAGGGTTTAGGGGTATCTTTAGCGACGTGTACTCCCCTGAGCCCTATCTGCAGGGTCAGGGGGACCTCGTAATTATACGCACAAGCCCCAAACACCACAAGATAACCCAAGGTACCCGCATCATTTACCTACATACTGAGCCCCCCTGACCCTCAACCCTAAAGAACGAAGTAGTTTCCGTTTCCTTTTCCAATATTTTGAACCCCTCAGTAGCTAAACCTAGTCCTGCAACGCCCGGCAGCTGGTTTTACAGGAAGTGTGCCTCGCCGACATGTTCAGGGTCTTATGGGAGACTGAATACTGACTGGAGAAGAAAACAACGGGAACTACTCTTTCAATTAGGGTTTACGGTTTAAGGTTTAGGGGTTCAGTGTCAGGACTCAAGGTTTAGGGTACCAAGCACCCTTTTCGAATATTGACCTCAAAATTGAAGAAAAGGGTCATGGGAGCTTGTAAGATTTGGTTCCTTACCCAAACTGGTTTGAAAGAGTACTCTGGATAAGGAGCCATGAAAACCGTCGAAAATCCCCACATCACCCCAAGGGTCTCGAGGAAGGAGGGAGTGGGGGAGAAAATATAGGTACGAGAAAAAGGTACATAGAGGGATGACTGTGCCCAAACCCAAAGCATGCTTGAAGTAGGACACTCCAAGTATGCTCCGGCTATAGACAATTCGTAAGTGTTGAGACTCCCGCACTAGCGCTAAATTGCCTGTTTCGGAGCGTATTGAATTCTGCCAAGATACGGTTTGCATCGAAACCCTGAACCTTAAAATCGTGAACTCTAAACCCTAAACACTACTGAACATACCGAACTTGAAAGTCTAAACTCAGGTCTAGAGGTCAAGGTGTAAAGTGCAAGGCTGCATGTATGGGTTTTCGGGCTCAGTAAACCTTAGCCACCAAAGACAGAACCCAACAACTCTACACTCCCCCAAACTAACATGGAACCCTACGGGGGCCCTTTCAAGACTACTGCCCTTCTAACAAGGGACTATGTTGGATTCCAAGGTGCTTTGGGGGCTAGACCTAAAAACCCAAACCTTCAGCCCTAAACCCTAAGTTTAGGGTTCATGGTTTTAGGGTGTTAGGGTTTCTAGGGTTTAGGGTTTACTAAACCCCCAACCCTAAGCCTTGTTATCTCTGCGCAGCGCAGCTGCAAGCACCTGAAAAGATGTCTTAAGGGTTTAGGGTTTAGGGTTTGTTGGTAACCCTGACACCCAAAATAAGGAGCCTATGCCAGTCATATGATAATTATGGAGTCCTGGGGTTTGAGTTAGGATTACAAAAATCCTCTAAATAGGGTGGTCGAACGTTTACGGTTTAGGGCTTAGGGCGGGTTTGGGTTTGAGGTTAAAACAAATTCTTGAAAGGTGATCCCTGTCGCAGGGCTTGCAAACAATTTGGGTTTAGAGTTTACAGGGAATCTAAGGTTCAGGGTTTGGGTATATGGAAATATGACTATATAAGGATTATGAGGGCATAGCGTTGGCAGTTATTGAGGCTTGCACATTCTGAGCATTTGGCGCCCGGGGGACCCCAGGAATGATTCAAGGGCTTGCTACAGAGGATTCTTGCAAGACGACATGAGCTTTGGAGCATGAAGTGCGGGTTGTTTGAGTTTGAAGTTGTAGTGGAGTTTACGTTTCAGGGCGCGCGGGCGCGAGGTACTGTTCGGAGTTTAGCGTGACATTGCGAGTGGGGGTGCGAGGGGGGTTCTCTGATGTCTGCCTCTAGCGGCAAGACTCCGACCCTGGTAAATCCATATTAATATGACCTGCAATAAGAAACCGTCGCCGTGGAATGCAGTATCCAATACTGCTTTGCTGGGTTGCCAAAACGATGGCTTCTTTGTTGGCACGCTAAGTAGTAGGGTTCGCAGTATGCCGATGACGCCAAACTCTAAATGCTAAACCGTAACGTTGCGCCCTTGTCAGGCTTCACTCATATGGTAGTTTCCCAAAATCAGGGGACCCCAAGACAGACCCCAAAATGGTATAGTCCTTGCTATTGGGGCCCCACACAAAAGTACACCTAATTTTGGGAAATCCTAAACCCTAAACCCTATAAAATCCTATGAAAGCCTATAAAACCCTATAACTCCCCATAAAGGTACCCTTAATTTTGACAAACCTACGATGGCATGATACGAATTCCGACATTACCCTGCGGTCCGAGCAGTGGCCTTTCTCAGAAAGGACCCTGATGGCAACAGCAATACTCATAGTAGGGTTTAGGGTTTTGGGTCTACAGTTTAGGTTTAGGGCTTAGGGTATAGGGTTTTGGGCCTACAGTTTAGGCAGGGCTTAAGGTATAGGGTTTTGGGCCTACAGTTTAGGGTGTAGGGCTTAGGGTATAGGGTTTTGGCCTGCAGTTTAAGCATTAGGGCTTAGGGTATAGGGTTTTGGGCCTACAGTTTAGGGTTTAGGGCTAAGGTTATAGGGTTTTGGGCCTGCAGTTTAAGCATTAGGGCTTAGGGTATAGGGTTTTGGGCCTACAGTTTAGGGTTTAGGGTTTATGGTAGTATTATAGAGATGCCTGAAACTGCAAAAGATGTTGTGAGCAGCTCCCACCTTCGTTCCTACACGCCGGGATTACACAACCTACACCCGACAATGCCCTCCCTCGTTCCTTATCCAAACATAGCCTGCGAGACGGATTCTTCTCTGAAGGTTTAGGATTTAAGGACTTTAGAACCCGCTCTCATCATGCCTGTCATAAGCTTTCCGGGATCACGCACAACAAGCCTTGAAGTTATACTGGTGAAAGGAAAGATCTCCCACCCAGATCCCCCTGAAGAAAACACATCTCCCAGATGATTCTTGTTCTTCACTGATCTTAACAGAATTGAGTATATGGTCAACCCTTAACCCTGCATGATAATAACTTATAACCAAGCCTAATTAGCCCTCAGCCAGAACCCCTGAGACCTGAGCCATAGACTCAACAACGGAAAGTAAATCCCAACCCAAATCCTGAGATCCCAAGCCCAAAATCCCAGACCCTGCCCAAGCCCCAAATCCTAAGCCCTAAACTCGGACTCTGCGCCATAAACCCTCAAAGATTCGGGAGGCTGTCAATATGATCTCCATGTAACCTCCAGTACCCATCATCCCCTCATAATCCCTATGTTGGGTACTGCCCCCCCTCAGTAACACTTGGATAATAATTATAATATGGTTATATATAGCCCTTAATAGGACCCCTAATATAGACTGTTACTGGGAGGGGGCCGTACCCAGTCCCTATGTACAATTGCATATCCCTGGGTCCCTACGCCCAGCAACTTCCATGCTGCCTAACAGCCCCAGGCACCGGTGCGCCCAGTGCCGCTGCGAAAAGCGCACCCGAGCTCGCTTGGACGGTGGCGGCCTACAGGGGAACAGAAAATCCAAAATTCGATGTAAACTGAGACTATGTAGGAGTCTATAGGGATTAGGATTTAGGGTTTACCTTTTACCCCCCCTTTCCGCCAGCCTAGTAGTAATTTCCCCTGTATCAGTAGCTATGGCTCAAAGAACTAGAGCCAATTGAGGTCACACTCGCGTCATGCGAGAGTGCGCAGTAGCTCACCTTTTTGGATTCTCCTGTGGTCTCGGGCCGGGCTTGAGGAGAAATGCGAAGCATTCGCGGTCCTAACTTGTTGCTAATGTGTTTGAGATCTTATACTATTGTTAGACATCCTTCCTTTCTGGGTATGACTATCCTCGTTCTTGCCTTGTGGAAATAGGAACGGCGTCGTTCTGGTTGCACGGTACCACAACTACTCGCCTCTGGCTGCTATTGTGATTCGTAAACTATACCAGTGCTCTCCAGACAGACAAACCGTGCGTCCCACCTGCGCAGCACTCACCCCATCTGCGGTCGTCTGACCAGTGTGCTGCCTGCGACAGCATTCAGCAAACGCGCTGCGGCACGTCTTGATTGATCACAGGAGGGAAGTAAGGCGGTGAATATGCAGGCACAGGCTACGGACACCTCGATGAAGGTCTTTGGGTGTGAAAACGATGCCTGCGTCGCAGTTATATTTTGTGACACGAGATGAAGGTTCTTCCTGTTTCAACAGCTCTGAGTGCATACCTATGCTGCGAGCTTGCAAGCTTTCAGGGGCTGAGGTCCCTGTCTCAAGCCAGCTAGCTGGAACATGAGCATGTAGGGTTGAGGGCTCAGGGCTTGGGAACTTTGCAGAATAAAGATCCATGCATGGTGTACCATCATTTTAGGCTAGGCTTTGTCAGAGCTTTGGGGTTGTGTTCTGTGGGTACGTATGTGGGCAAATGATGATAAGTCATGATGCTGAATTAAGGCCCCTTGGGGTATGTTCAACATAGAAACTATAGATACGGGTGAGCTCGTTTGAGCTCGTCAGAATGTGTTCAGCCAAATAAACAGGGCTTGAGTATTCTGGGGTCCGAGGTTACACTTTCTGGCAGAAGCAAGCTAGGCTGTGCAATGATACCGTACATTGCTGATCAGGCTCCAAGCCACTTATGTACAGTAGCTGTAACCCGGAACCCTAAGCCCAAGCCCTAAACCAAAACATGTAGGAATGTAGGAACCCCTATATTTTTCAAGGGACTTCGACCACTCCATTCTGCGAAGCCACATACAGGTTGGCCATGATCGCATGTTCACTCACCATACCCGCATATCCCTAGGGCTCCCTTGGGGCCCCATGTGTTGAGAAACACCAATTTAACTTGCTCAACGATGCTTCAAAGCACATGAGCAGGTTGCCGGTCTCAATGCTGGGCATCGAGTTTGGTGTAGGGCCATACGGTTGAGCTATGATCCAGGTCCCTGCAATGAAACCTTGCAGCCCCCTGGCGGAAATCCCTTGTAACCTTATATAACCCCTATATAACCTCCACATCGACCCAATATCGCCATATCACCCAACATAACCCCGTGTAACCTCCACGTGGGCTATTGTCTAAACTCCTAGTATCCCCTTAATATCCCCTACGGTAGTCCCCTAGATAATCCCCTTTGAGGAGTTTAGACCATAGCTCATATAACCCCATGGAACTTCAAAGTGCCCCCAACTGGAGCCACATCCTTGGGGATGCCGGTTTCTCTCCCTGCCACAAACCTTTTCCTATCCCACATTACCCTAGTAAGAAAAAAGGATCCTTTCACATAGATATAAGGAATCCCATACCCCAAAAAGTAATTAGATCCTGTTACACGAATATAAGGAATCCCATACCCCAAAAAGTAATTAGATCCTTTTACATTGCATGAATATGAGGAATCCCAAACCCAAAAAAAGTATAAGGCACTCTCACATTGATCCTCTTTTTGAACACTCACGGCTCAATGGATCTTGCTCGAGTAATTCAAGCGAAAGCTGCCACCGCTCTCCGCCCGGAGCCTGGAAGATGGCCCGCAAAGCCGGCCACAAGGACTGAAACCGGTCACTGCCATCAAAAAGCCTTTCTAGTGCCCTCATGAACCCTTGGTTCGGTTGGATGGAAGAGCGCAGCTGCTTGACAAACTTCATGGTTGCTCCCAGCAAGGCTGTAGAATCGACAGCCTCCTCTTTTTCTGCTTCCTGCGCCTGTCGCGCCCGTTGCACACACATCAACCACGCAAACACCAAACTCGCGGATCGCGACCGCCCTTGCGCACAGTGCACCAGCACCCGCGCACCGCGAACTTCCGCGTAAGCTGCGGCCATCCAGGGCAGTGCCTCAACGAGCACTGCATCAAGGTCAGCGCCAGGGCAGTCCTCAATGTGCAGGCTGAGCTGCTTCACCTAGGTTTGGGCGCGCGGTTTAGGACTGCTTCATGCACGCAGGTTGCTGTTATGAGCTGTATGGCTCTTGCCATAGTATGGCTTGTTCTGTTGCTGCTAGAGGGTTTGCATCTCGATGGCCTACGAAAATCATAGTATCCGCACATGACGCAAAAGTTGGGAGCTGAGGCGCGTTTGCAGTCTCCGGCAGGATCACGGTTTGATCGATCACACTTACCACATGCGTGATCGCCAATCCGTGCAGAACGGCCTCAGACGTCGCTGCCTCCATCGGCCCTAAATACAAGGCATCATTGACCTAAGCTGACTTCAGGACCCCTCCCAGAGCTTGAAACTTCTAGCCTCCCTATTATACATAATACATAATACGAAACCAAACAACCAAAGGTCCTAAGAGCAAGCCAAGCAACAATCTCTGAAGGAAACATGGGCACCGCAACTCGACGGGCAGCATCTTGTAGACTCCTGTACTTTTGAGCATACCCGTCCTGGGTTGCTGCCAGTTAGCTTGTGTTAAGTTACCATAACGGAGAAAAGAACAGAAAATGGACACTGGAGGTATGTAGGTGGTATATACCAACTTAAGGAACTCAAAATAAGTCACCACATGTCACCACATTGCGGGTATATACTGCGACAATCGGGGCTCCTCCCAATACTATAGAATGTACAACTTAAGTCAGCAGCCCAGCATCAACATCCACCAGGAAGACGGCACTGGGGCGCACCATGTTTGCAAGAATCCATTCCCTCATTGCAAGGCCACGAGCATAAGGAATTGCATTCTCGATCGTCCCTTGCTGTCCTAGTGGGGAACGGAAAAGAAAAAATGGAAACTGCTGCTTTAAACGCTGCCGGGTCTAGGCCTTACGGTTCAGGGTTTAGCGGCTTAGCGGTGATTTGTACAAGAAGGAAGGGAAGGGATGTCCATAGTGGCTTCTATGTAATTCACTGGAACTACGATATCCCCCTCTAAAGCCTTATAAACCCTAAACCCTAAATCTATCGTTCCGCTCCTTTACTCCCTACTAGCCACCAGTAAGTCAAAGCACGGAGCCGTCCTCGACGATCGAACACAAGTGCTGCCTCTGGCATCTCGCTTGGCCCAAAGCAATTTTCCACCAGGGCCTCAACCACCAATGCCCTTACTTACTGGAGCTGGATAGGAAATAACAGAATATACTATATTTGGTTCTATAGGGATTATACTCCCTTTTTCCCTGCTAACAATCAGTTAGCCTGAAGACCTCTAGGGGCATATGGAGGTTAGACAATTTTTCTGGGAGGGTCTCTACTAAGGATCGCAAGATGTAGTTTGAAGAACTCCACGGCCTCAAACACCGATCTCTTCACCGTGTCAGGCAGTTTGCCTGGCACCGTGGCAAAGCCATAGGGCACCAGACCTCCTTCCTCAAGGAACCACTGGGGCCCATGGGAATCTTTCCCTGCTTTCATGTCCTTGGTTCCCCAGTAAGCCCTCAATAAGAAGGGTTGCGGTTTGTCACATGTTCAGCTTTAATGAGGAGATCCCAAACAAGGAAAAAGGGTACTACTGGGGTACCCAGTGTCAGAGCCGTTGCATGCACCAGGGTGTTCTGACACGTCGAAGACTAACACAGTGTCTTGGTGAATCAGGTTAAAGGCTCTGTGGGGCGCCAGCAACTGTACACGAAGCGAATCTTCCGTGGCCATGACTTTCACTTCTACCTCACCTACTTGGAGGTCCAGGGAAGCTGCGTTTAATTAAGTAACCTACACCCGACTGGAGCAAAAACTGTGGAGCGAGAATTGGAAAGTGCAGAAACTAAGCGGTAAAGTTGCGAATACCCTGGGCCCCTCGCTGCTAACCTACGGCCGACTGGAGTAAAAACTGTGGAGCGAGAATTGAATGCAGAAACTAAGCGGGAAAGTTGCGAATACCCTGGGCCCCCTGCAGCAGCGGACTCCATCGAGCAGGCACTAAGCGGCAAGCATGGCACATTTCACAGCTCCCGAGCTTGGCGGACCTTTGAACTTGGTGAAAATCTATGGGCTGCAGGGAACCTGGTAAAGCTGGAAACCACCATGTGCCAAAATCCTGGCCAAAAGGTCTTTGAACTACGAAGAGCTACTGGAAACGGAGCAGTCCGGCACCTTCCCAACTTGATGAGAAAGGAGAAAGATTACCCAAATACAAAGCGAACACCCAGATAATTCCTGGTTCTTTGTAGGAATGAAGCAATGAAAGATAAGATGAAAGACAAAATGGATACCTATAGATTTGGGGATTCTATAGGCTAACTCAAGGGATCCATTCCTCCATTCCCTGCTACAACCAGCCAGATAAAGCCTCTTAGAAACCCATGACAAACCCCTGTGCTCGACAGAATGATCATGCAGTGTAGCCTCTTGAATTACTGTGGACTTTCCAGGCAAAAAGCGCGACGGCTGATGATTACAAAACGACTGCATGGGCCAAAGTACATTTGGTATTACCTTATTCGAGGATCATGCAGGATTCTTGTAACAACATGACAATTACACACATCCCAAGAAAATGCATCAACAGTAGCACGCAGTCTAGGGGCATGGCTTAGAAGTTGTTGCAAGCCCCAGAACCCGAATCCCATTTGTTTGTGGGACATTGTCTGCCGTAAGAAGGATCCACATCACAGACATTGTAGCCGTACTCAATCAATTAGGGTTTAGGGTTTAGGGATGGTACCCGTATAATGAAGAATCAAACGGATAGGAACATGGAAAATGCAATGGAGACTGGGTTTCTCTGGGGATGTATAGGGATTCTTCTGAATGATTGCCCGTATAATTTTGAGGTCTATTTGAGGTGCCCTTTTCTATGATTATACAACGACCTTAAGATCATGATATTAAACCCTGTACCCTAAACCTTAAACTATGACGTTTGTACTAGTCAGGCGTCTGCAATGTATCCGAGCGGCCTGACCCACGAGAGGATGTTCGGAACAGACCTGCATTCATGAAGACCGACAGCAACACGGGGTTTAGGGGGTGTTTATGGTGTTTAAACCTATCAAGATTCTCTCCTTCTTGCAAAATACTACCTACACTTACCCATATGAGGATACAATCGTACTTTATATTGTCGACTAATTTTATCTTCACTACAACTGCTACTCACTGGGAAAGGGACACTAATAACTGCTGTATGCGCCTCCACCAACACCAGAACAAAGGCCAAACAAGGCGGAACCCTAAAGCCCGCAGATGTCCCCGGCCTGTTTGCCAAGGAAACTGCTCTAGTTCTACTTTTCTGGTGAAAGCGCCTCCTAGAAGCAACACAACCCCTCCACCGATGCGAGATCTTCACCCAACACTATAGATCCAAAAATCTCAAAGCCGAAGCCCTCATATGATTTCCAAACCCCAAATCCTGGTCTCGAGCCCAGCCCAAAGCCTAAGCCCAAGATTCCCAAGCCCAACGTTCTTGAGCCCGAAGTGTAGATGTGCCCCTTTAAAGAAGGAAAAATTTGGATGTAATTAGGGTTTAAGGTAAGCTTAAAGCCCACAGGGATAGAGCAATACTAAGGGCTTTATACGTTCAGGCTATGATTGCTATCCAGCTGTTACTGAATGGGGGGTCAGTCTCCAAGGTCGAAGGTAAACCCTACTGTAAGCCGTGCCGTCAACCCTAAACCTGAAGCCCTACCCAACTCTTTTCGTCACAGTGCCTGCCACCGTCAAACTCCTCCCCCTGGGCAGGTGCGGTGCCCCCGAAGATCTTGAGGGTCGGAAAACCCTGGATGTTGCTCCTGCGGGCGTGTGTAGAAGCCTAACCACGCAACAATATCATGTTGAGTTCTAGTTGAACGAACTCGATCCCGAAATTTTACCGCGAATCTAAGACAACAGCATTGGTAATTCGAGGTTCGGGCTTACAAAGTACCGAGACCCTCCAATTTAGTTCCCTTTGGCTCTTCATCACAAGCCTTTATATAAAAAATACGGAACCTAAAGGGAACCACTTTAGAGGTCTTCCAGGGCTCCAGGTTTTGGGCTGAGCGTGAAGTGGGCCGGGTTTAGGGCGTCTTTGCAATCACTGGGGGGCTGGCATAAAAGAAACTTAAACCTTCAACTGAAGTGCGCACAAGGGGGTCCAGAGAGCGGCCGCATAATTTTCCGTGCATATCCTTACAAGACATGTGCCTTTCATGCGAGAAGAGCGGGAGAGGTCACCAGACCACAGACCCGCGTGACCTTATGACAGTCCCCCCAATGAGCCCCACAGTAAGCGGGGGTGCTCAAGCCACAAAGTCTTACGCCGCAAACACAAGGACTCCCTGATTGACTCCCTGACCCTCCCAACAGAGCTAGTTTCGTTGTCCAAAATGGAACCTCACAACCCAACCCTCAAAAAAAACCTAGAACAAACACTGCATCCTGCATCCTGAACACTAAAGCCCCGTTCCCTCAACCCTAAACCCTTTCCTGGCGTCCTTGTGCACTCCTCCAGGTCTTTCCCGGGCGTCCAGCCCTGGGCGAAGCACTCCTGGCTAAGGCATTACTTACTGGTTCTTAGTAAGGAAGAAGGGAATATCGTATATAGGGATTATATTCCCTTATTCCCTAAATACTAAGAACCAGTAAGATTACGGTTTAGGCTTTGGGGTTTACGATTTGGTTATCTAAGGCTTGTGTCCAGGATTTACAGCCCATGTGTGGCTAAGGACTGCTCTGAAGGCTTAGGATGTCGGGGTAGAGGTAGAGCAGCGTCTCTAGCAGTGTAAGCCTTCCCGTGTTTGCACAAGAGTCCTGATCTTACAGATGTCGCTTACTTTCAGGGAATGTAGAACAATACCCTGTGGAGTGGTGCGGCACAAGCCAAGAGACTTGATTTCACATGGCCACTTGCGCTCATGCCGTGGATCTAAAGGCAGTGGAAAAAAGGAAGAATCGAGTTTCGGTTGCGTGTTGTCTTCTGATCTACAAGGTGGTAGAGCTTCAAGATATTCATAATTGAATGCCTTATCTTTTGGTCTTCTCCGATATAAGTAGTCATGGAGCAGACCTACAAATAACAGGCAAGCCGACTTAAGCTCGAACCCCGAATCAAACCCTATACACCCTAGACTCTGCCTCCAGACCCTTAACCTCACACGTACAACTCTAAAGCCTAAACCCTAAACCCTAAATGCCTTGAACATAAGACTCTACACACCATACACCGCTCCTTCTGCTCCCACCGGACATCTGCGTTCTTCGTGGAGGCTGCCCATTGTGCTTGGGCATCCTCCCCGGGTGTGCAAGTTATATAGGGTTTATGTAAGGAGCATGTGGGGAGTTATGTTAAACTATATTGGGATAATATATCCCAGGGTTAAAACCAATTATGTGGTGGTTATGTTGGAGTATACGAACAAGGGTAACGTGGCAAGGACCTTCACATACAATCAGAGTCTTCTCTATCTTGCACGATTAGAGCCAAACCCGGGCCACATCACAGTAATCTGTATCGAACATGCCCTTACATAGTCCAGGAGTCTCTAGCACGCAACGCAGAAACATTTTCGTGATTGTATGCTACTTGTTTGACAGGTCTACGTGGCAGTCTAGACTAAGCCGCATGATTGCAAATGCAAAGCAATGCCAGAGTGCTGGCGAGACGCCACAATCCCTGCAATTCTACATGCAACAACAGCTCGGCAAAAGGAAGCCAAAGGCTTCTGCGCGCAACGGCAAATGCGTGCAGCGCGCAACGTAGCACATGTCTAAGGATGATCGTAGAAACGTTGTTCATGGTGATGTGCGATGTGTCAAGGTCAACACTGTTGCTTTGAACCACTTGCGGAAGGAATACTCATTAATGACTCTGCAACAGAGATCGCATGGTACCTCTCCAACTCTCGCATAAACTTTCGAATGAGTTGAGGACTTAAAGTGTACTGAAAGGCATGGAAAGGCTATCTTGAATCTTCAACTCTCCTCAACAATTGGATTCCATACTCACAGCATGCTCTTTAGGCAGACATAATATTGGGGATACATGGAAATACCCTATGTCCCAGGGGGCTACATCCCAAGACATTCCCAAAATACAAGGACCCAAGACACAAGTATCTTCAAGACGGAACCTGAGATCACGCCAGAGGACGAGGAAGCTCTTGACGGCTCATTCGAAAAGATATGGAAATCTCCCGTTCTGACTAGGCCGAACAAGAACAAAGACCTGAACGAGAGCGAAAACATAGGGAAACATACCGCCTCGAAGATTCTTGGTATCCTCTGTGCTACCATCATCCCAAATTTCGCACAGCTGCACGTCTCACGAAATCTGCAAGCTCACTGGATCCCCGTAGTGCCTTCCATATGGGTTCCATGGACTGGCAGTGCGGGCAGCTTTTTGCCACATACTCCACGACCTCTGGCGCGAAAGGACGCATTGATTGGGATGGCACAATTCGATCTGATTGCTAGAACGTTGAGAGCTTTTAGCGTTCCCCCTACACCCTACACCCTAAACCCCAAGTGGTGTTGTGGATGCTTGCGCCGTTGTCATTGTCCTCAGCGCGGCTACGGCAACAAGTTATCACTGCCCCTACTAGCTACGACCATGGTGACGACGACCATGGGAATTCCTGCTGTTGCCACTATCAACTACAGAATATCTCTAGCATCCACACTGGCAATTGCAACCCTTACCACCAGCATTAATACAATCCATCTCAGTGTCGATGCTAAGAATAGATAGAGGCTGGCAGGGTTCGGGGATTGGTATCTGCTACAATTTGACTGCGTCGGACAAATTCAAAACTTAACCCCGAGCCACTGCTATCCCAGGAAATCCTATTTGGTCCGAATAGTGCCCTGTTGCAGCCCGGATTCCTTCTACAAGCACTGTCGTCCATACGGTACGGAGCCTGTTACAATGCCCATGTAGCCCAAACCCTAAACCCTTAAACCCTACACCCTTAGCTTCATGAATGCAACCCCATACCATCCCCACTTCCAGCACTGCCTATGAAGCCCCTGCAACCTGTACAACAAAGTATTCAATGCCTAAGAAATACATGAGCTATAGTCTGAACTCTATTTAGGGGATTATATAGGGCTTTGTAAGAGGATACTAGGAGTTTAGACTATGGCTCACATGGGACCCTACACCATCCCGTACCCCCGTAATTAAACTCCAGACCCTACGTGGCGTGGTGGCCTTGACAGGTGCTACTGGTGCTGCAGGTGCCGCAGGCACAGCCAGAGCAGCCACCAAAGGCTTCTCGTCCCGGGTCTCCTGAGAGGTTCGCTTTCAGAGGCCCCTGGCTTTTGAAAGCTTAGGGGCTCAGCTTCGAGACTTAAGCTTTTAGGAGTTCTCCTTCAAGGATTTAGAGTGTCAGGGTAAAGTGTTGAATTTCGGGTGCGGGACTTACAATTTAGCAAGAGATCTGCGGCAAGACGTTAAGATCCCAAATAGATTTTTGCTATTTGCATCGACTCCCACAAGACCCTATTCCTTCCCCAGACTTTTCACACAGGAAATCTTGCACCAACCATAATTCTGGACCAGCGCACATCCCCCAAATTCACGGAGTTTGAGATGGTGCAGGATGTGCCCACGGTTTAGGGTTTAGACACTCAACCCTAAACCCTTAATGGTAGTCACAATATGCTCCATCCATTGCATGCTTGTGATTCTGAAGGTGTCTGCTTTCCATGCGGGACCCTTAATCGTACCTCACACAGGCACACGGCAAATCATCCGTACATAGTTTACAATCCCCCTTAAGTAGATAGAATATGGCTTTGGGTATATTAGAATAAGATCCCCATATACCCCATATTCTATCTACTGAAGCGGGACTATATTAAAATCCCGAAAATGACACCAACATCCCCTTATGAGCCCTGCATATCAAGAGCTAAGCCCCAAGCACCTAAACCCTAAACCCTACGCTTGCTTCAAAACAACCATCTCTTAGCAGAAGACCCTGACCTCAGGGAGATCCCCAATTAGGGCCCCAAACAGCAGCAAAGATCTTCTAACAAAACCTCGCGCTTCCCCTGGAGCCCTCTTGGAAGCAGTTCCTCGTCTGCGGTCTGTTTTATCTGCAAGCTCCCAAGACCTATACCACAACTAGAATCTTAAATAAATCCTTGAGGTCATCCTACGAAAAAATGAAAAACATGTCCTAGAAAGACTCGAGGTTTTGGGGGCCACAACAGGGGCCCCACCCTAAACCCTAAACCCTAAGAGACTAAGAGAATCTACCCTGCGGTCTCCTCCAAGGGCGCTGGCCTCTCTCTTGGCGCCGCGTGATCCTCGGCAAACCTGCAGGCAGCGTGGCGAGGGATGCCGGACGTGGGGCTTAGACTTTTCAACTTGTTAGGGTTGAGGGTTTAAGGGCTTAAGGGTTTAGGGTTTAGGGCTCAAACTTTTAGGTTTGGGGTTACTTGCTGGTTGTTAGTAGTAGGGAATAAGGGAATATAAGGGAATATACTCCCTGTAAAATCCCTATATAACATAACTCCTGATTCCCTATTCACCCGAGTAAGATGAAGGGCTTCAGGTGGAAGATTTAGGGTTTGGATTTGGGATTCCACAATCCGAAGGTCAAGGTTCAGGATTTGCGGCCTCGGGGCTTGGGGTTCTGACTTTTTAAGTCAAAGGCCGGGGCTGAACAGTTTCTAGCTGAGCCCTTGGTGTTCAGGGCATAAGGTGAGGGACTCCTACGATAGCAATTAATCCCTTACCGGTACGGTGGCTTCAAAGATAATCTGAGGGCTTGCTAGCCTAAACCCACTATCCAGTCTCATGGCGTGTCGTGGCGCTGCGCTGACGAAACAAACCGCCCCGAAAATTGCTGGGATGTTGTTGAGGAATTAGGTTAAGTTACCATAACATGGCTAATTAAATCGTAAATGATGGGGTTTCCTTGGTATACTAAGTTCCTTGACAGCAACCCAGATCGATGATTCTCTGTTCTTCCTTTCCAGGTCTTGGCAACGTTAAAGACTGAGGATAAGATACTACTTTTACCCAACTAGCAAAGGCTACGTTGCCATTACTAGACTATCACTGCAAGTACTATTACCATTGTGAAGTTTGCCATTACCGTTACTGTTACTATGACTGTTGACATGAAAAATCTGTTACAGCAATCCTGAAACCAAGTGCTTGGCCTCAGAATGAGCCGCCCTTTGCTGAGGTCCCAACTGTCAAAGCTCCCCGTCATATACGTAAGAGGGACCCCCGCCCAGTGACAGTGACTATGAGCGATCATGGTATTTATATTAAGGTCCTCTTATATTCCCATTATACTGCTATTACAGGGTGGGGGTCTACCTAACATATATAGAAATATCAGAAACCCTACCTCTACACACGCTACACACTAAACAGTGCGACTATGTATGACCCAAATATGGCTGAGACCAAACCCTACACCCCCACAAATTCTGCCCGCTAAACTCTGAGCCCTATGCCTTACAACTCCTCAACGCAAACCCCATACTACAGGGACCGATATAAATACCAAAATCAGTATGAGGTCTATTTGAGGCACCCTTGAAAGTATGCAAGGACACTAGAACCCGCACTAGTGGAATTTATTTTGGCTTGTACGGTACCGAATCCCTATGAGTCCATATATACACCCAGTTTCCATTTCATTTTCCATATTCGTTTCCATTTGATTCCGTTATTGGGAGTAGACATTACGCCCTCAACCCCAAAACCTGATGAAAACAGTTCGTCTGTGAGCCAGACCGCAGCAGTTTTGCCGGCGTTCTCTCCGAAGTGAAGTCCAAGAACTGCTTGCCAGATTTGCCTTGGGGAATCTGTTACCCTAAGCCCTAAACTCCGAACTCTGAACCCTGCATCGTAAAGCCTAAACCCTAGATCGAACGGCCGAAGGCTCTGGTTTGAGGCTTTCCTTCCATGCCTGATTTTGTTCCGTCACCTGGGTCCTCCAAAAAAAGGGGTTCTCCTCAAGGACAACTCCGCCGTTTGCTCTGAAAGGCCCCGGAGGCTTAATTAAAGTTTAGGATGCGAGCTGTAGTCTAAAATCCTTAAAGGGGATTATATAGGGGAGTACTACAGGGGTTATTCGGCAACACGCCTCTCGCAGCACAACAGCTGCGAAGTTCTAGAAGTTCGGAATTGCCTAAGAATTCCTCATCACATCTTGGATGCTCAGGCAACATAGGAGAGTATATGACGCATTCTGGGCCCTAAACCCTAAACCCTAAACCCCCTTTGGGGCGGGGGGGGGGGGTGAAGCTCTAGAAGGTGAGACC